GAATAACCCAAACCAATCACAAGAGACAATCCGTTGTACACTATTGGTTCCTGACATGTCAAACATGGTTGTCTGCTACATTTGCTGTGATCAGTGGGTATAAAGTAGTTTGAATCTATTTTGAAGTGAGAAAGTCCACCTGAAAACATGGTCAGTGCAGCGAGTTCATCCAGATTACAATCCTGCCTTCAAATATTACTTCTGTCGGAGCCGCTCAGACCCCCGTACACCGGGGGTGCACTGTCACTAGAAGAAGTTTTATTTAGCTGTCTAGCTACTAATGCTACTGCATAGCTAGTCAACATTTAGACCCAATAAAAGCCTAAACAACAGATAAAGCGCCCTGAAATTATTTCTATTTTTCAATAAAACAATAGTCTAAATGCTGGCTGCACTGTGAGTTGGGCAAGCCCTCCTTTAATTACAAGGTTTACTTTCTCAAATATGCAAACATGGTAAATCTTAAAGGAGCCAAACACAGTGTGCTATAAATGTTATAACCTGGTTATGATTAGGGAGGATCTTCTACTTTTCTGTGTAGGGGAGTTGCGGCAGAATCAACTCAGGAAACAAAGGACGATACGATTAGCGTATCACACACTTCTATCATCTGAAAGTTGCAGACCATTGATAAATGGTTTCATGTCGGCCATGTTTTGAGCTTTTACTTATCATCTGTTATATGTCATCAATGTTAGAATTTATGCTCAGATGACTTTAATTACATAATTAATTGGATAGAAAACATGGATCCCTTCTAAAAACCTCTTTCCTTAACGTGACAATAATGGATAGAAATGAAGGATACATCAGGTTGGCACAGGTGGTCATCACCAGGGGGCGTACAGGAGTCCTTAATGAATCAGATGGCTCAGACTTCATGAAATCCTGATCAGTGAAATTAGAGGACAGGAATAAAAAACATAATAATAATAGTAAAGCTAAATATTATTGAAAAATGTGATAAAGCTCCATGTTTGTTCTTAAGCTATAATCATACTGACCAGCATTATGGAGATGAGCTCCTGCTTGCGAGAGAAGATGTAGCCTTGTTTCTTCACACACCTACTGATAGCTTTGGCTATGAGCCCAATACTCTGGATCAAACTAAGCTTCATAGTCAGGTCCTGAGTGAAAACAAAGATAAACGGACAAGAAACATTAAAATAAAGGAACTAATCGTGCAAACATGATTTTTTTTTTCCCAAAAGGCAAACCACCCAACAGAAGCAAACGTGTTAATCAATCCAACAATGTTATTGCAGACTGATCCACCATGCCTAAAAAAGATGGAGAGAAATCTGAAATTATAGCTGCAAGATTAAGAGAACTTTCTAAAAACAGAGGACCAACTGTAGGCCCTCCCAGTCCAAAAAGCATCAGATAAGTCCAAGGCTATGTTTACACAGCAGGAAAATATGACCCGCGTTGCATATTTTCTCGGCATTTTGAACAACCCAATTCCGATCTGATTTGATCCACTTCCCTGTGCTACTAAATGGGATAATTATCGGGTAGTTTTTAAAATTTCTGTAGTCTAATGGTGAGGGCTACCACTACACATTCATACAGACTTCTCCGCAGCATGTCTAATTGCTTTACTAAAGGCTGTTTATTAATATTTGACAACTATTAACCATTTATCAACTATTAGTTGAGCTATTTTTTCTTATCTTCCTTTGTCTTTTTATGATGTGCTAATAAACTGTCGGCTGGCATTGCTCAAGGGTATAAAAACATCACAGAGACACCAGCATGTATTATTATGCTTTGTTTGCTGTAATCGATGCTTTTTTAACTCTGACTTTCACATCCATCATTAAGTTTGCAACCAGTGGGTATCACTTCCTTCTGCATGTTCAGGTTTTTCTTAGTGTTGCACCGATACCGATACCAGTATCGGATGGGGCCCCGATCCAGCACTAAAATGGTGGTATCGGCGGGTGCTGACAAATAGAGCACCGATAACATTTTTAGAGCCAAATGTTTATGCTATTGTCACCCATTCCAGGTAGGCAATAAAAAGTTCTATTGGATTCACTTTGTATTAGTCTTTTTCATGCTGCACAAAGATAGGCAGCAGCTTGACATGATGGTAATTATTTTTTCATCCAAGTAGCATGCAGTTCTTCGTATATACACACACATCAATTTCAAACAGATGGTATCAGGATCGGCTAATACTGCACAACCAGGTATTGGGTATCGGTATTGGGGCCAAAAATCGGTGCAACACTAGTTGTTTTGGTTAATATGCTAAGAAATCAAATTGGAACGCAGCATCTGGACCTGCTGTGTGAACATAGCACAAGGCTTTGGAGAAAATAGAATTAGAAATTACAAGAGCATTTCACACTGAATGTTAGTCATTGAGGAGGGATATAAGAGCAGTCCACCTTTAAGCAACTATCAAACAAGAAGGATGCATAGAAAACAGGAAATTCTTAGAAAGACAGATGTAGGCATTTTATAGGTTGATCCGTATAGTGATAATGATCTACATCATTTAGTTGATATAATGACTAAATGATTAACTTTACATTTACGCAAAAATTTAAACTATCGATCCAAACAATCCCTGTCGAAAGCAAAAGATCTTGTTACTTTTTTTTAATTCATGAAGTTTCTGTAAGTTCACTCCTCGCTCAGTCACAGTTAACAAGAAAGTCTTTGTATTGCATTAAATATATCCAACATAAACTATAAATTAAATAGACCAATCAAATCTTTTTTTCTGTATCATTTTTAATCTGTGCATCATTTGTTTTTAAACTTAAAGCCAAAAATGAAAATACAAGAAACAGGTGTTTTTTTTACCCTAAAATTTTTGTTTGGGGCTCTTATAGCATGTTGTGTTTGTGACCTCCATCATGAATTACTTCAGCCTGCTGGGCTCTGGAAATGCTAAACATTGTTCCCCTATGAAGATCTGTTGCCCCTATGTTGGGGGAAATTCAGTTGGGAGCACCACTGCAGCCAGAGGCAGTGTGGTGAAATATTTGGTTCCCCACAGCTATTGTGGCGCACAATCTACTTTTCAATTCCACTTTTAAAATATCACAATTATTAGAATAAAAAAAAAGCATAGCTTTAAGAGTTGTGTTTAATTTTTTTTTTTTTTATTAAACGTCAGTGTCCTTTAAAAAAGAAGTTAAGCTAATGTCTGAATTCAGGGTATCAGAGAGCTAAAGCTGCTTAAATAAATAATCCAACATGAAGAAGAATGTGTCAGCCTAAGTTATTGATCAGTCCAGGCTTTCAGAACAATGAAACTAACAGCCCTGCTGTCCAACATGCACACAGTTGATGACGTACCTGTTCTAAATGTAAGTACATTATGAAGCTAAAATTTAAACAGGGGCCAATCAGCACATTCTCTGATATTTGGGCTTTTTCTTTCATTTTAAGTGAGCCAAATCAATTAAATTAAAAATAAATTAATGGAAACTGCCGCTGTAATCTCTTATTTGTTTAATAAACAATTTAACAGGTTTTTAACAAGTTCAACATTGGTGTGTGGCCTCAGTGTGAACATGTGATGTTGCTCATGGTCTTTAGCTCAGACACATGAAAAATTAGAGGGAATATTGATACAGATGTCGATGTGGTAGAATGGTAAGAATATCCTGCAATATCGATCGCAGACTTGCAAATTAAATTTCAGAACTATTGTATGTTGACAGATTTTGCTATATCAGTGAACATTGCAGTGTCATCCACACAAATCTGTATATTATTAGTATAAACATAATAAAGTTGGTAATTTACTCCCCTAATATTAGTTAGATAAATTAAACAGCTGCATGTGACATTATCAATAACAATATGCTATATACTATATATTGTATGTTTTATATTTTATATAGCTATTAGGGGTGGAACGGTTCACAAAATAAAGGGTTCGGTTCGGTTCACGGTTTCGTGGTCACGGTTTTCGGTTCGGTACATGTTGATTGTTAGCCTGACATGTTGGTAATGTTGCTGTTAGCATAAACAAAACGTGTTGCACAATGCTTGACCACTGTTGCACTTTTATCCACAACTTTCTTTCCGCCGTCATCGTAGGTCACTCTAAATGCAAAGTGGTCCCATACAGCAGACCTATAAAGTGCTGCTGGCGCGTCTTCCAACTCCTGTTCTTTCCCTCTCGCCATACCCACACAATTCTCCACAACATCTGATTTTTTTCTGCTACACCCGGCTAAGCTGCTTTGCTTCTTCTTCTTCTTGTTTACTACTGGTGGTTGGCTTTGGTCGCAGTACCGCCACCTTCTGCTCTGGAGTGTAAACTCTTTGCCTATGAGAAAACGGAGCAGCGCATGAACCGATCGCAACACACGCGAACCAAACCGAGACAGTCGAACCGAACGGTTCGGACGGTTTTCATAAACCGTTCCATCCCTAATAGCTATAGATTCTATATTCTGTATATAATTTGTCTGCACCATCCATACCTAGTCAGATTCGTTGTGAGTTCAAACCTACATGGCAATAAACTTGATTCTGAATAAATGATAATTATTCCCCATCCATAGTTAATAACGGCTTTTAATCTCAACTAAAAATTTGGTAGAATTTTCTAAAAAGGACAATAATGTCTCTATATTGGTACAGGACCAAATGTGAAGATGAAGGATTTTCTAAAGTGCTTTTTTTTTAGAAGGATTTTAATTATAATGAAGGCCTACTTCATGGTCACTATCATCTAGTGACACAAGGTGATGATAAAAGTAAAACTCATGTTTGTGTGTGTAAAGTCTACAAGACAGAAAAGCGAAATTTTAAAGCAAGGCTACTGATGAGACTTGGCAAACAACATGGAAGACCATGAAAGTTACTAGAAAGGTGAAGTTATAATGCAAAAATTATATCCTGAACCGGAACAGATTTATCTAAACTGCATATTATGTGAATGCACAACTATTATTAAGTTAATCACTAATTTATTAAGATTTCATTACTCTTGAATTTCACAAAGATGAATCAGCGTCAGCAAAAGCTTGTAGAAAAAGCCATTTTAAAGATTGAGATCAAGCTGAGTTTGATTTTCTTTAAATCAGAGTTTAAAAAAAAATATATATATTTGGCAAAATTACCGACAGAGGAAAATTTAGACAGAGAAGCAAGAAAAAAAAAAAAAAAACTCAAACAGAAAAATAAAACCTGTTGATCCCATAACAATACCTTCGTCTCTACTTTAATCCCAAGAACCTGTATAAAAAGAGGCGACAGAATAATGAGGCCATATACACACTATTCTAAACAACTAAACAACAACATTAACTCTGATTTTGTAACCAGGACCTTTAATGAGCTAAAACCTGGAAAGAGAAATGGTCAAAAATTACCCAATAAACTGATAATAAATGCAAAATATCACACATAACTCTGAAAACCAACTGTCACACAAACTGTTTAACATCTTGATCATCTTGTTGAGAGATTCCTGTTTTGTAACACATTCTGTTCGTTTGTTGATAAGCAGACTACTAGTTACATGAGGACTGGATCAATGATCGCCTGCTTTGTTGTACTGGGAAGGAATATTTCTGCTTCTCAGATGTTTAAAAGTTCATATGACTCACAATGTGCTGCTGCTTAGATGTTTTAGATATTTTAAAAGTAGCATTTTTATGTTTATTTGTTCTTTTGCAATGAATTCAACTATATTTGTATGGAACTAGTTACTAAATTTGGTTTGCATTTCTTACAACGATGTTCCTAAATCCTTTCTAGTTACGATAATCTCTACAGACTACTGGTTTTGTAATCTGTCCGTATGCATGTTACCTTAGTATTGAAGTGTTTACTGATGCAGCGTAGGATGTCCTGATCGACGCGGTTAAGAATCTTCTCTGACGGTGCGTTCAGAGCCACGTGGCCGTAGCACAGGATCAATGTGCTCTTCACCTTCTCCACTTCCACCTCATTACGCTCCTGTTGGAATAAAACATTTTACATCCAGCTAAAAATGCTTCTTTAAAGTCCCCTCTGAAGACAGTTTTTACTTTGAGCAGGTTGAAGATACTGGGTGACTTTTTAAAGGCATCCGATTTGCCAAACTCATCCAGCTTGGCTAAGGTTCCCTCCAGGTGGCTGTTGGCACACAGACCAACACCAGTGGCAACTCCCTGAAGGAAAAAGTTAAAAGTTAGGCCAACGTAAGATAGACAGAAACTCATATGGCACTTTTATTTTGATGTTTCAACCACCTCTCTTTCAATAGCATCATGGTGTCGCGCCGCGAGGAGAACTTCCTGTAGTTGCTTTTTTACAACCTCCTTATTTAAACACTGCTGGAGAGTCACTCCGATACATCGATACAGGAAGCTCTAAAAACCGAAAACAAAGTAAGGATTATTTTCTAATCATACAAAAATACAAATACTTTTACAACCTATGCTGCTTGTTACACAAACACTTGACCTTAACACAACAAATCCTTGATAGACATTCAGGTTATCTCCAACCACAACTTAAACAGTTTGTGTAACGACTCTTTAACCCAAAAACTACATAAATAGAGTCAGGAGACATTACTGGAAATCATCCGAGTATTTAGTTTTGACTTGCTTTAAGAGAATAAATTTACTATGTGGATTAGGGATGCAACTAACAATTATTTTGCAAATCCATTAATCTGTTGATTATTTTTTCGATTAATAATCTGATAGCCAAAGGTTCCTTAAAGAAGATATTTTACAAAATTAAACCAGGTGAAACTAAAACTTTTCCCTTTCAGGAGGTCTGGATAGAGCATATCGATTAATAATATCAAAATATTGATAATTCTGATATAATTACTGCTCTAAGTGGGCTGCTCTGTCATGATTTAGAGTCTCTATACTCCAGCTAACGAATAATCAATTAATTAGTTAACGATTATTTTAAAAATCGATTAATCGATTAATTTCTTTCAGCCCTAATGTGATGCCATCAGGTTCTTTATAACCTTTATACATTACCTTCTCCTCCAGGGCGTTGTTGTATGTAGAAAGATATCTGGTTGCTTCAGCAGCAAACTGGCAAACCCACTTATCATCATCAATTGACGTCAAGGTCTTAGATAAAAGCTGGAGGGCAATTTCAAACAAATTCTCCTTAATAATGCAGTAAATCAGTTTTACCCTTCAGTTACTATCTACTAAATATTATAATATTTTCTGGAAAAGGTTAAAACATAAACAGACCTTCAGCAGTTTGTCATCCCACTGCTTCTTATCCAGACTCTCTGCTGTTGACTCTGAGAACAACAACAAAAAAATCTGAGAATAAATAGACATGAATGTAGATGAAACAAGTTGAGAAAGGATCTTGTCTATACCATCTAGTAGTGAAAGAAGAGGAGGTATTTCCTTCTCCCAGACCGTCTCTGTATTGGGATGAATGTTGATGCTGAG